TAGCTAGAAGAGAAGACTTTGAATGTTCTCAACACAGAGAAATGATAAATGCTTGAGGTTATGGATATTACATGTATTGAAATATCACACATTACCCAATAAATACATACAATTATTATGTGTCAATTCAAATTTTGGATAAATAAATAGAAAGTAAAAATTGAAGAGTAAAAGGAAATAGGAAACCTTTTTTCTGAGAATGAGTAGGAAAAAGAAGATAAAATAACTTGACTTGGGAAGTGGAAAAATATGCCTGAGATTTAAAAAAATAATTCAGAAACTAAGGACAGAAAAATATGTGTTTGCAAGTCAGAGTGATGATCTCTAGGGAGAATAAAGAAGCCGGGGCCTTTTACTTTGGGTCTGGGAGGAAACAGTGCTCAATTACTGACCTTCCTCTCTCTGGTCACATGGCTTGTGCTGGTATAAAAGCTTTCTACCAGCCACGCTCCTTACAACCTTTTCCTGTGTGAAATGGGCGGTAGCAGTGGCTAAAACTCTGTTCTCTTTCCCAGAAGCTTACCGACTTTCCTTCAGGACTGATCCCAAGAAGCCATCTCTCCGGAACAAAGACAAGGCAAGGCAGCTAGCTCAGTGCTTGTGCTCTGGGAAAAGAAACCAGGAACAGAGTGCAAGGGGAAGGTGTTGGGGGGCTGGAGGAAGTGTGTCAGAGACTGAAATGTAAGGCTCGTACCCAGAGACTGGAGCTAGGGTGGGGAGCAAGGAAGCATGGGCCAGGAAATCAAGCCTAGGGAGACGATGGTGGGGCCAGAGACTGTGTGGACAGCAGGGTTACAAACCAAGTAGAAACTGAGTTACCCCATTACGAAGAGGAGTTCACCTGTTTATAGGCGAAACACCAGGTGCAGGAGCCAGTCACATCCTGGGGGCCTTTCCGGTCTTTTGGGGACAAGACCCAAAGGAGAGTGTGCTGGCTCACTCTTTCCCTGCTGCCCCACTCTTTCCCTGCTGCCCCCTCTCTAAGCTTCCCCTTCTCAACAGAGTCAGAATCCAGCGTTGGATGGGATGAACAGGGTGAAGGAAAATCCACGTTCTGCAAAAGGAGAGGGCAAGGAGGTAAGGAGATGGGTTGGGGGCTGGGCACTGGGTCCTGTAGGGAAGCAGCCCTGGGTTCGCAGTGCCTGGGTTCTCGCAGCCTGGTCATCCTTTGACACATCGTACAGCTCTCTCCTCTCTGCGATGCCTTTCTCTCCGTCAGGACTCTGACTGAGGAAGGGACTTTGGTAAAGTTGGAAACTGATAACAGTAACTTCCTGTATCTGTGAAGACAGAAAGAGAAAGGCCGGGGAAACCAGAGGGGGAATTCCCTTGGGCAGCCGAGGGTTGGTCTCCCCCAGAGACACACAATGGCAAATGTAATAACCACTGCTTAGTATCCCGCCCCAGGCAAAGTCAATAATTGCTCTGGGCAGTTCTAGCAGGTGGTGTGAGCAAGCAGTGGTGGCAGCAGAAAGCTTTGGTCTGGGAAGAGGGAGTGACAGGCAGGATGTCCACATCCTGAACCTGGGGAGAGTCCACAGGCTGTGAGTGGGACCTCCTGACCCTGCCCTCTTTCATCCTCCTCCAGAATGATGCCCAGTTTGCACAGCTCCACGATCCTCGCGGCTTACATCATCATCTTCCTCACTGGTCTCCCCGCCAACCTGCTGGCTCTGCGGGCCTTCATGGGGCGGGTCCGCCAGCCCCAGCCCGCACCCGTGCACATCCTCCTGCTCAGCCTGACGCTGACTGACCTCCTGCTGCTGCTGCTGCTGCCCTTCAAGATCATGGAGGCTGCGTCCGATTTCCACTGGTATCTGCCTGATGTAGTCTGTGCCCTCACAGGTTTTGCCTTTTTCAGCAGCATCTACTGCAGCACTTGGCTCCTGGCGGGTATCAGCATTGAGCGCTACCTGGGAGTGGCTTTCCCTGTGCAGTACAAGCTCTCCCGTCGGCCCCTGTATGGAGTGATTGCTGCTCTGGTCTCCTGGATCATGTCCTTTGGTCACTGCACCATTGTGATCATCGTTCAGTACTTGAACTCAACCCAGCAGGCGGGATACAGCAATGAAGTGACCTGCTATGAGAACTTCACCCAAGAGCAGCTGGACGTGTTGCTGCCTGTGCGGCTGGAGGTGTGCCTGGTGCTCTTCTTCATTCCCATGGCGGTCACCATCTTCTGCTACTGGCGCTTTGTGTGGATCATGCTCACCCAGCCCCACGTCGGGGCCCAGAGGCGGCGCCGAGCTGTGGGGCTGGCTGTTGTGACACTTCTCAATTTCCTGGTGTGCTTTGCACCTTACAACATATCCCACCTGGTGGGGTTTTTCACGAGGGAAAGCCCTGAATGGCGGGCGGAAGCTGTGGTGTTCAGCTCACTCAACGCCAGTCTGGACCCCCTGCTTTTCTATTTCTCTTCTTCGGTGGTGCGCAGAACCTTTGGAAAAGGGCTGCAGCTGCTGCGGAATCAGGGCTCCTCCCTGTTGGGATGCAGAGGCAAAGAGACAGCAGAGGTAACGAATGGGGACAGGGGTGTAAGTCAAGCAGAAGGGGCGCCAAATTTGGACTTCACCACAGACTAGCGAATTCTCTGGACCTTCAGAGGCACTCTGGGTTGCACAAGAGTTGGGCAGCCTGGGAGAAGGGGAACATGAGGGTTCCTGTCCCAGATCCAGGAATCTTGAGGCCCAGTCCATGACTGGGACTTTACAAAAGTCTCTCTCACCAGCTTGGTATCCCTTCCTGAGTGAATTTTCCTCAAAGGAGCTTAACTCAATGACACAAGAATGGTTAAGCACAGAAGCCAGGAATCTTGAGGCCCAGTCCATGACTGGGACTTTACAAAAGCCTCTCTTACCAGCTTGGTATCCCTCCCTGAGTGAATTTTCCTCAAAGGAGCTTAACTCAATGACACAAGAATGGTTAAGCACAGAAGCACTTGGCTAGGACTTCAGAAGCAAGGTAGCTAAGGACAAGTTCAGTCCTGGTAAGGTAGTCGGTAGCTGGAGATAATCAGGATGAAGAGTCCTAAAGCAATCTTGCTACAAGCTTAGAAACGACACCAGGACACTGGTCTAGCTATTGATGCTGGAAAGAAACCAGTGGGAAAGAGATGGATGAGAAATGCTCAATGAGGTCAAAGAAGACTCAAAAAGGTTCGGAACCAAGAGGCCGAGAAGGGAGGACTGGGGGCTTAGACCTCTAATGATCTGGGTTTCATTGTATCTGTTTGACCTGTTGCCTTTTAAGTGTGCTCCATTCATTTTTATGTGTTATCTTGTCTCCCTTGTTAAACTGGGAGCTGTATGAGGTCTGGATTTCATCTTCCTATATGGCACCCCGCACAGGCTAGCATGTGGCTTGGTACCCATCAATCTGAGATTTACACTGACTAGCATAGGAAAAAACAACCTGGTCTGGCAGACTGAAAATAAAGGTTATAAAACTCTGCAGTGAGTGCCCACAATTTCTGTAACACTTCTGCAAGTATGGGGAGGGAAAAAATGGGATAAAGAACCAGACTCAGCAGCAAACGGGGAAGGTGGTGCACTTGAAGCTGTAGAAACATTTNTGGGTTGCACAAGAGTTGGGCAGCCTGGGAGAAGGGGAACATGAGGGTTCCTGTCCCAGATCCAGGAATCTTGAGGCCCAGTCCATGACTGGGACTTTACAAAAGCCTCTCTTACCAGCTTGGTATCCCTCCCTGAGTGAATTTTCCTCAAAGGAGCTTAACTCAATGACACAAGAATGGTTAAGCACAGAAGCACTTGGCTAGGACTTCAGAAGCAAGGTAGCTAAGGACAAGTTCAGTCCTGGTAAGGTAGTCGGTAGCTGGAGATAATCAGGATGAAGAGTCCTAAAGCAATCTTGCTACAAGCTTAGAAACGACACCAGGACACTGGTCTAGCTATTGATGCTGGAAAGAAACCAGTGGGAAAGAGATGGATGAGAAATGCTCAATGAGGTCAAAGAAGACTCAAAAAGGTTCGGAACCAAGAGGCCGAGAAGGGAGGACTGGGGGCTTAGACCTCTAATGATCTGGGTTTCATTGTATCTGTTTGACCTGTTGCCTTTTAAGTGTGCTCCATTCATTTTTATGTGTTATCTTGTCTCCCTTGTTAAACTGGGAGCTGTATGAGGTCTGGATTTCATCTTCCTATATGGCACCCCGCACAGGCTAGCATGTGGCTTGGTACCCATCAATCTGAGATTTACACTGACTAGCATAGGAAAAAACAACCTGGTCTGGCAGACTGAAAATAAAGGTTATAAAACTCTGCAGTGAGTGCCCACAATTTCTGTAACACTTCTGCAAGTATGGGGAGGGAAAAAATGGGATAAAGAACCAGACTCAGCAGCAAACGGGGAAGGTGGTGCACTTGAAGCTGTAGAAACATTTTAAGATGAAGGTGTAGTGAGGGGAAGCGAGCAAGGGCACTGAGTGTGTCGTTTAGATTGATGAATGGAGAGACTGGACTTAGAAAGAGGGTGTGGGGTGAGTCCCAGCTCCGAGTGATTAGTCTTTCACAGGTGCTTCAAACATATAACCCTCCTGCTCAGAAATCTGCAGCTTCCCTGTTGTCAAGATTTTTCCTCCCAGGAACTCATATCACATCATTCCTTTGCCGGCCTCGTGCCCTCTCTCCCTTCTCAGTTCTACCAGCCTAACTCACTTCTCCACAATGAGGACTCCCAGCCGGTTCTCTCTAGCTGAGTTCACCGACTCTCCAGCCTAGTGGTCTGCAACCTAGGCCAACCTCAGACCCGCTGGCAGAATCTCTGAGGGTGGGGCCCCAGCACTGAGCTCTAAAAAGCTCCCCAGGTGATTCTGATGGACAGCCTGGGTCAGGAATCACTGTCTTAGCTGTCCACGAAACTGTTCCTGAGAGAGACTATACGTCCTTCCTGCTATACGTCGCCCCCACCTCAACCCCATTCTCTCCCATCTTCTCATCGTTTGCTTCTTCCCCTCTTACAAACGCCACTCAATATTCACTTTCTCCAGAAAGTGAATGCCTTTCCTTAGCATTGCCACCCAACCAAAAGCTCATTCTCTGTCTTCCTTCTTCAAAAGCAGGCTGGACTGGTGTCATAAGAGCCCTGACTTCAGGGCTGGGTCAGCAGGAGCTGAATGACCTGTAGCAAGTCAGAGCCTCCAGCCTCTATTTCCAAATCATAATAAATGAGGGTAATGTATCCCTCCCAGGCCTATTCTAAGGATTAAAATGAGACTGCATATATAAAATTATAGATTATTACTTAGTTCTGAGATATCAGTCCATGTGAAACACAGATGTACCCTCACTTAAAAGAAATAAATAAAATTTTAAATGATAGAAATAATGTATTGTGTAGCCAAGTACGAAATGGTTTGGTAGTAATATGTGAGAAAAAAAACTTGAATTT